TCAAGGGATGGGCCCTGATCAGTGTCTCCTCAGCTCCATGCTTCGCGATGCCTTCCTCAGCGCGCACATTTCAGTCCGTTGCAGCCTCCCCAGCACCCCCCAGCAGCAGTTTGAGGCCCGTCTCCGTAGTCAGGCTCGACGGCACCGCGCACGTCGCAAAGTCAGGGTTGCTCTCACACACGAGCAGTTCCACCGCGAAGAGGCGTTCCTTCCCAGTCAGTGACGTCTCCTGGCTGGCATGCTGCCTTCTTGCTGCGGGCTCCTTTCATGCAGCTGCATCTGTCGCGTGCCATTGCCCGCCTTTGGCTAGTCAGGGGGAGCGTGCGTTCCCGGGGTTGCACCGAGGTATCGTCCTCGTGATTTATCGTTGCTACTCGTGGCGCCGAGGCGGGCGCGAGTTCTGACGATGCGGCTGGCGCGGGGGTCCCGGTGGCACAAAAGAAAAACACGAATCAACGTGACTGTTGCGTCTAGACGGTCCTGAGTCGTGCCACAACACGATTCCCGGGACTTCAAGACCGCGAGTCAACGTGACTGCTGCGCCCTGCCAACCATGAATCGCTCCTAAACGCCATGCCTGGCACGCCGACCACGGGAACCCGTGAAACTCTTGCACATGTTTAGAACGAGTGTGCGCGGCGCTGAGGCGAGAGCCACATTTGGAAAACGAGCCGCCCTCAACCCATGAAGCTCTTGCAGTCTGTCCAACGAATGTGCGCGGCGCGGATGCGAGAGCCACAGTTTGAAGCCGACCCGCCCTCCACCCGTGGCGCTCCTGTCTTTGACTTGACGACTGCGCGCGGCGCGAATGCGAGAGCCACATTCTGAGACAAGGACCCGCCTTCCGTCCGTGAAGCTCGCGCAGCGTTGCACAGCGAATGCGCGCGGCGCTGGGGCGAAGGATTGCAAAAAAACCCGGGTTTGTTTGCAATCCTGTTTTTTTTTGCAATCCGGTTTTTTTTTGCAATCCTGTTTTTTTTGCAATCCTGTTTTTTTTGCAATCCTGGGTTCTTTTTTTCCCATCCTTCTTGGTTTTTTTTGCAATCCTGATTTCGAGTACGACTTGCCCTCCATCCATGCAGCTCCTGCACCCCCTTACGAGGAATGCGCGCGGGGCCGAGGCGAGCACCGCACTCTGAAGACGGCCCGCCCCCTCCATCCGCGGAGAGCTCCTGCGACGTTTGACACCGAAGGCTCGCGGCGCGAGGGCGAGGACTCCCCCTCCTCCTCCTCCTCCTCCTCCTCCTCCTCCTTCTCCTTCTCCTCCCCCTCCTCCTCCTCCTCCTCCTCCCCCTCCTCCTCCTCGTCCTCCTCCTCCTCCTCCTCCTCCTGCTCCTCCTGCTCCTCCTGCTCCTGCTCCTCCTCCTCCTCCTCCTCCTCGTCCTCCTCGTCCTCCTCCTCCTCCTCCTCCTCCTCCTCCTCCTCCCCCTCCATTTGGGAATCGGCTGCCAATCTTTCAGCTTCAGGGCCTTCGAGGAAGAGGAGGCCTCGGGGCGAAACGCCTGGCCCGCCCTTTCGACCGGCCTGGGGGCGCGACAGGGAGGAGTTGATTATAAGGACAAGGAGTGGAGGAGGAGGAGGAGGAGGAGGAGGAGGAGGAGGAGGAGGAGGAGATCGTCCCCGGCTGGAAATGTCCGGCAATGGATTACGGGCGCGCCAGATTTCGGCTGCGACCGGCTGGAACCGCATGTCGGTAACGAAGAGACGGCGCGTAGGGTTCCCAGCGAGGGGTCCGGAGACGTCGACGGCTCGCCCGTTCACGGAGGCCGCATTTTGGTCGCGACTGGTTCGTCGTCCACAGAGTAAACTGGAAGTTTCGGGAACGGACGACCCAGACCCCCGACGTCATGATTTTTGTTCATAACATCGACCCCCAGATCTCACCACCCACCAAACCACCCCAACTCAACCCGAAGGCTCAGATTCACCCTCGATTTCTAGTAGGGGTGGGGTCGGGAAACATAGAAAAAACACGCGTGGAACCCTTACCCCCCCCAACCCGAAATTCGGGTCTTCGGGTTGGGTTGGGGTGGTCTGGTAGGTATTCAAGATCAGGTCTCGACCCATTCCCCTGGACTGGCTCTTCCTCCTGAGCTGTCTTTGGACGGCCCCGAGGCCCGACATGGGGCCCCCGGAGGCCCAAAAAGGGCGAAAAATGTCCCAGCGTGCTTTTTTTTCGTTCTCCGAGGGGGTCTGGGAGGAGGAGGAGGAGGAGGAGGAGGAGGAGAGGAGGAGGAGGCGGAGGAGGAGAGGAGGAGGGGGAGGCGGGAAGGAGGGGGGAGGAGGAGGGGGAGGAGGAGGGGGAGGAGGAGGAGGATTAGGAGGATGAGGAGGGGGAGGAGGAGGAGGAGGAGGAGGGGGGAGGAGGAGGGGGTGGGGGAGGAGGGGGAGGGGGAGGAGGAGGGAGGAGGAGGAGGAGGAGGAGGAGGAGGAGGAGGAGGAGGAGGAGGAGGGGGAGGAGGAGGAGGATGGGGAGGTGGAGGAGCGGTGAGTCGCGAAGGGCGCCTTCGCCGCGCTCGCCGAGCAGCTGCGGCTGCCGAAGACCGCGGTGCTCGCCTTCGACGGGCCCGAGGAGCTCGCGCCCGAGCTGCTCGACGACCCGCCGGGCTTCTACTGGTTCGACGTGCTGGGCGAGGACCTGGCTTCTGGACGCCCGAAATGGGTACGGAAAGAATGGGTACAATGCCCAACAGCAGTTCCTGTTCATTTTGAACAGGACTCGCTGTCCGCGCCGCCGCGGCCTGTGTCCATTCGAGACAGGAGGCCGCCTGCGCAACAGCGGCCGCTGTTGGTTTGGGACAACATTTGTTGTTGGGCATCGTACCCATTTGTATCGTCCCCATTTCGGGCGTCCAAAACTTGGCTGGCCATCAGTATCGTTCAACCGATCCCCATCCCCATCCCCATCCCTTTCGAGGCCCCACCAAATCACCCCCCCCGTTGGGGATACACCCCTCGAAACCCGAAGGGAACGACGGCCCATATCCCCATCTAGGGGGGTAAATCGGCCAGTGGGGCCCAGGCCACGCCGCTGGGGATGGGGATCCGATAAACGATAATCAGGCCAAGGGCCCCTCGGGGGCAACGTTTCTCCAGGCCTCCCAAAATGAACGACGCTGAAAATCGGGGTCGTCGGCGCCGACCTTGGCGCGTAAGCTGCCCGCGTAAGATCGCGCGTGAACGCCCTCGTCTCCAAT